TGAAATCTTTCACTAGTTGATTTTTAAGGGCAGATTAAATCCTCTAAGTACATTCAACCGTTTTCCAGTGTAGGATAGACTTGGTGACCTCTTGAGGTCCATTCTGACAGGTTTCTCTGATTATGTGAAGTCTTTTCTGTTTATTGTTGGGAGGGAATTATTTGTGTTATTTTCTTTTAGCATCATTCTGCAGGCTTTATTTGTGTGATGGTAATCTTGCATACCACCCGTATGCCATCATATTTACTGAATGCTCTGCTTCCAGATTGTCTATACTTTTTTTTCTGAGCACCAAAGAACAAGTGCGAGTAAGCATTTGTCAAGCTTCCTATTGTCAAATACATTTGAGAAAAGTATGTGCATGCAAGGATTTCTCTTTTCTTATGACTTCTTTAAATGTAAGACAAGATGGATTTATCCATCTTCTTTGAAAACACAAGGATGCAAAAACCTTAAAATACTAGTATGTTGCATACTTACTTTAAAAGAACAGCTGGTCTCGTTATACTTCTAGTTTGGTTTTGGCAATGTTCCTGTTAAGACGCTTTCTGCTGAAAGGTTACTCTGATCAGGCTGATGCAGTCTTTTGTGTTGTTGCAGGTTTTATTTGTGGTTACTCCTTGCTACAACTGTTTGATGTTGACCAGAAGGATTATCCATTCTTCTGTGCAAGTCTGATACAGCTTTAATGTGTTTCCTTTATGAGCAGGTCTGGGACACTCCACACTGACTGTCTGGGAGCTCTTAGCTCCTTTTTTTCCCACCATGAAGTAGATATTCCAGAATGAGTTACTAACATTATTTTTCAAAAAATCATAGAGGTCCAGAAGTTTGTTAATTGTTGGATGGTTTTTGTTTACTTCACGGTGCACTGAAATGTAAGTTAAACAGGCCGATGTTTGCAAAGCAAGGCGAACACAGTAAAATATCAGTAAGAGGCTGAAACTGGTACAGATAGAATGAGTAGTCACCCATCTGCCTGTCCCTGTGGATAGTTTCCCAGCCTGCCAGAAATGGAAGTTGCACATTGGGTAGATGGATTTGAGAGAAGATGGGATTCTTGGCTAACTGCAGGTTCATTTGCAAAAGCTGGTGGATTCCGAAGAAAGCAATACATTCAAGAGAGAATGAGAGAGAGGTCATCTCTGAATATTCAAGTCCTGCTACTTGCATAGGTTTAATTACTTCAAACTTTCTGTGCCACGTTGGGATTTTCTAGAGGCTGTGCTGCAACTTTCTGTTCTGTCTCTTTTCTTGTAAGTGGTTTTTTCTCTTTCTTCCCCCAGGATTCTGGTTTTAAGTAATGTGTTACTTTCAGTATTGTAGTCAGGGTTGTGAAACCAGACAATGGGAGCTTGTGACAATTTGTCTCCCTGACTCTTAAGTGTGCAGTTGTAAAAGTCAGCTAAAGGCATGTGCTCGCTCAGTTTCACTGCTCAGTTCTTTCTTGCTGAACAGAAAATGAATGGGGTGAGAGGTGGTTCTTCCCCTGGCTTAGGGTGTATCACAGGCAATGTCCTCTCTACTATGGGAGAAGGAGGTACAACTTTGCTCTCATATGCTGACAGTGACGACCCTCATACAAAGGTAATAGTTCCTCATCTTGGATGAGGATAAGGGATGCTGTGAAACCAACACCTTCATAAGAGCTGTATTTTTACCTAAAACTACATTTTCTCTTGTGTTCTCCTTGTAAAGAGAGTGAGAAAGTAGTTTATTGAGTTTCCTAGTTTATAGAGGACACTTCATGTGATGCCACCTCATCTGATGACTGCTTCCACTTTGTTGTCCAAATGTCTGCGAATGCATTGTTTATCTGCAAAACTCAGTAAAACAAGTCATGTAGAGAGCAAGTTATTTTCGACCTGTTGTTGATTGTTAAAGTCATGTGAAACTTTCTTCAAGTTATCGGAATTGTTCCTTGAGACTCGTGGTAAAAACAAACATAGGCTATAAATGTTGTTAGCCTGCTGGGCAATGGTACAATAGAGCCTTTGTTCTTACGGAGTACTTAATTGTAAACTGGGTCATGAAACTATTGCCTTATGATTTGTGGAAAGGGGGGAAAATACCAGCTTTTTTTAAGAACCTTTAACTGGCTTGTAGACAGTGTTGATCGTTCACTTACTTATATTTTTCAAATACGGTTAATAAAGTAAATATTGCGTCTACAGTCAAAATAATTTGTTCTTTGGGTTACTGATGGAGTTGGAAATGGCAGTTTCTTTCACACAGAACATATACTGCGCATCTCTTAGGGAAGATGGATAAATCCAGAACATTGCAACGGAACATTGTGAAGGGGTGAGAAGTTGGATGTCACTTGCATTTAAAAAATGGTTCAACAAGTGTTCTGAGTTTAAGGCTCTTTTTCTGCTTCTGTGTCTCTGGTCACTGGAAAAACATCTTTTCCACAAAGATACCTTTGCCACTGGCAGCTAAGTTGGTCCATGAGGCTTAGTTAAGTGTGGTGTCTTCTGCTTCTTGCGCTCTTCAGTTTACTGTTCTGCACACCGAGTAGAGCTACAGCAGTCAGATATCCCAGACTTGTGTCAGGGGGACATTTGTAGTTGTTTAACTATTACCTTCAGATCTCCCTTGATACTGGACAAGCTACAATATACTTATTGTTAAAATAATTACTATATTGGTAGAATGCAAACTGTTTACTAGGTTTAGGGGCAGGTACATAATAGTATAAGCACATTTGGCTGAGTAGGTGGATAAGCAGAAAGATTTTCACAGCTGTCTACCTTTAAGTAAGGTTTTAAGTTAAAGAGTTATTATTATCATCATCATTATTATTTACCCAAACTCTTCCTACAGTTTTATTTGGATTTAAGTATTCCCTCTAATGATTCCTGCGATATGTACCTTCTTAATGCAAGCAAGTTAACAGTTAATAAACCTAAAGATGTAGTGATGGTTTTCTATACCCCTTATCAGTCCCAATTAGATGTGCTGATGACCCTAGGGAATAAGCTGGAGGGGTTCTGTCCAGAAAGCAGAGAAGCAGAGGGAACCTGTTAATGATGGTCCTGGTGCTTAAGGAATGAGCCATGAACACAGATGTTAACTTGCTCCAATGCAAACTGTTCTGGCACAGCAGGACTCAGTCTGCAATGCATAAGGAAGTTACATGCCTTTTCGTATCCAGGTATGTTGTCAATTATGCCTTACAGAAGCATATAAATGAGACTAATATGTGGGTCTTCGCAGGTTTTGACTAGATTTCAGAGTAGTCAGCTGCATTAGGCTGATAAAGGTTGAGGGAAAACTTCCCCCGGGTCAGTTTTTGAAGAAAACCGTAACAAAACGGTTACGGGTGGTTTTGGTTGTTTGGAGGACCGAGATACTAATTTTGATCTTAGTCATGTTGAGATGCAGCCTGGGGGAAGGAGACTACACAGTGGCTGAAGAGTCACTGACAAAGCTTTCTGCAAGTAAATGAATCCTTTCAATTTGTTTTTTTCCAAAAGATGTGTTTGGCTGCTGTAGGCTTATTAACCTGTGGTTGTAACTGTAAAGATGTGGGTTGGGAGGAGGATTAAAAAAAGGAGAGAAGAGCAATATTTAAACTGAAGTGTAAGACTGACACAAGAAGAAATAGATATGAACTGCTTATTGCTGAAGTGGGAAGAATCAGAACTGTACTTTATCTCAGGAAGTGGTTTCCAGTACATGTTCAGCTGCTGCTCAGGAGTTCCTCATGGGTGTTACCAGTTGTCTGCTTTGTCTTGCTTCCTATTAGCTGCACTGAAGAAATAAAAATCGTTGTCTTAACGAATTGTACTTACTTCTATCAAGTGCTAATGCTTCAGGTTAGTTGCTTGATTTAAATCTGGCTAATAATTAACAGTAAAGATCAAAATTCTCAGGCAACAGTAACTTGAAAGTGCGGCATCAAGTTGCTTGTCATCCTTGACTGATTCAGCTCATTGTGGACTCCCAAGGTTAGAAGTACAAAAGTATGGGGCAACAAACAAACACGTGGGAGCAGGCCCAGATGTGGATGTTGGTGGAAGGTGCAGTGGTCTTTTATATATGCCTGTGTTACTACTTTCCAACAGCATCAAAGAAGTTGGTCCTTTGCACTGGGCATGGATTTCAATATTTTTGCCGCATGTCGTTCTATAGATATATTCCTAAACAACTATTACACATCAGGATTCCTCTTGGTGGCTTTTTATGTCTCAACTGTGTGTTAATTATTCAGGATACGACAGTCAGACTTTTCCGTGGACGATAAAACTTGTCCAACCACTTTGTCCTTTAACGGGAACACTGCTGTCTTCAGTAATGACATAAAGCATTAAATAGTTTTGTCATGAACTAGCGTGCAGTTACATCACGATCCAGACTGTCTTAATTATTCTGTACCCCATATTGGCTCAGGCTGTTACCTCAAGAGCTAAACAAGGTCATGCTTGGCTAGGATGAGATGTGTCAAGTAAATTCAGCTCTACAGGAAATACTGGTGATTCAGTAGGTGAGGCAACACCCCTGAGTTAATGTTTTCACTGTGCCCCAGACTGGTAAAAGGTGCTGGAGCTTGCATGGTGAGATGTAAAACTGAGATCTTTTGTTAAAGTTTCAGTGCTATTCCATCTAAGATGTTAACTCCGGGTTCCTGCCCAAGTTCAGATTTGAATGGCTATGTTCCCCATACATTTTTTAATTTCTCTTTCAGTAGAGTCATATTATCCTCTTGCTCCTGTCTTAACTGCTCTTAGAGTTGTTGGGAAAGGTGGCGTTCCGGAGGTGCTGACATGTTTGCAATTGGCAACAGATTAATTTGCAGAAACACTTGTACATTTTGAGATCTTTTGAAATCAAGGGTATTATATTAATGTGAGAAATGTCAGGTCAAAACTGAAAAGCTGCCAGATGTTTATATTTTTTCTTTCTATTGATGTGTGCAGAACAGTTTTTTGGCTTGAATATACATATTTGCAACATGGTTGAGTGTACTCAAACTTACATATCTTTATTTTCCATAGGATTCAAGTGCCCTGTATGTTCAAAATTTGTATCATCTGACGAAATGGATTTACATCTTGTGATGTGTCTGACAAAACCAAGGATAACCTACAATGGTAAGAAAGAAATAAGCTGATAATTATTAATTTTAAACATTATAGTGATAATTATTATTTAATAAGATACTGAGGTAAATAGTTCAGCGTTTTTTGCTTGTAGTTTATTTTTTCATATTAATTCCTAAGAACCCAGCGGGGTTTATTCTGCATGCCAATACAGGTTACACTGTTGGCTTGTTCTGCAAATATAAACATATTCTTGTTTGAGTGCGATGATCCCATTCTTTGACCACAAGATCGGATGTTGGTCAGTGTGCGTTTAGTGTCCACTTGAGATAGGTGTGGCTTAAACATCCTCTTATCTAATGATATCAAGTAGTGAAGTAGGTCAATCAGGTCTCCTTCTGGAGACATAATTAAGGACTTCTTGTGCTGTGCATTTGCATGTTATTCAAGAAAAAGCCCCTTTCTCAAAGGAGCTGAAGAACTTTCTCCTTCAGCTGATTGCATATGTGATACTCCATAAAGATTGGTACATATGTATGGTTTTGTTATTTTATTGAAGCTTGTCCATGTCAAATGGATCACGTGTGGTAGCTCTTGTTTTTCTCTACTACTAAGCTCTGCTTATAGGCAGCCTTTAATGCAAGGCAAATAGGACTTTTGCCACTGTTGGTATCAAATCTTTCCATCGCTGTTGCTTAAGCTGACAGTTCTATGGCAAGCACCCAAAAAGCTTTCAGAAAACTAGGAGTTAGAAAATCTTACTGAAATCTTAGTGCCTAATTTGGCAGAGCTGCCCTACCATCAGGAAACCTTAGTTACTCCTTAATGAGATTGTTGCTTACCTGCCATCAGATGTGAAATATGTGAGAACTGAATGCAAACGCTGCATAATGAGGGTGGTCAAACACAGCAGCAGGCACCTGAAGAGGTTGTACAACCTCCGTCCTTGGAAATGATCAGAAATGGATTGAACAAGGCCATGAGCAACTTAGTTTAACTTGGTTCTGCTTTGGGCAAGGGGCTGGACCAGAGACCCTCCAGAGGTTCCTTCCAACGTAAGTTAGTTACTTATGTTAGCATAAATAACCTGCAGGGTTATGAGCATTTTGACCTTCCTGGCACCTTGCTCTTAGGGTATCCTATACTGGATCTTTTTTATTGGAACAAATCCTGAAGGATGGTTGGGCCCACCTTATTCTTTTTATGGATAGCAATAATGCTGGTCCTTAATTGCAAAAATAATTTGAGATCATATACTTAGAGTTGTGAAATCCATTTCAAAGCACAGCACTCAGGAAAAGTTCATTTGGTTTTTTCGTTGTTGCTTTTTTTTCTTCCTGGTGTTAGCATACATACATTTGAGAAGGTTTGACTTCTTTTAACAGAGGAGGCTTTCTTTCTCTCTGTTCTCCCTTTTCTCATTTAGGACTGAGCGTTTTCCAAAATGAGTTGATAGGCATCTGTGTACTGAGGGATGTTGAACATTAAGGAGTAGTAGGCTATCGCCTCAGTCAGGGACAGATAATGCACTTGGGTTCAGTTAAGGTGGAGCAGGAGGAGGCAAGCTGGCAGTAACCCAGCTGATGGGATGTGCACAAATTGAGGTGACTGACAGAAATCCTTTGCCCCTGCTGCTTCCTACATGTACGTATGAGCGCACTAAGCTGAGTAACCTTTTTTCCCCCAAAGACACATCATTTGCATAACGTAACCTCTCAGTGTTGTCAGTGATGTTCATTCGTATCACAATGGTGCAATTCAGTTAGACTGGTTTTGGTTGGTTGCTCGTTTTTTGGTGCACTGCTTTGGGCCATCTTGTTATGTCTGAGCAGTCTGTTAAAGCAACAAGCTTCTGTATAAATGAGCAGAAGTAAAACATGAGTGGCACCTGAAGCCACTCTCTGGATAATCTGCAACATGATAAAAGCAGTTTTAGAAAGCACAATCCAAGTTATTACCAGCAACATGTCATTTCTCAATTTAGGAGTGCATCTACTGTATAGAAAGCCTCAGAAACTCACTCTAGGAAATAGTTACGTAAGCTTGAAAGCAAAAATGACTGAATTACATAGGCTGGTTTGAGAAAGACACTTACTTAGAAGTATGGTCTCATTCTCATAAACACTTAATAGAAGTGTGCACTGATCCTTCGGACTCCAGTTGGTTAGCTCCTGGAGTCAAGGACTAAAGCTTAAATTATAGCCTATATCTGGTTATTTAAATTACTGCAGCACAAAGAAATGGAGGCTATAGCTCCAGAGTTGTACAGTGCTCAGGAGTTACTTTGTGGTATGATTGTGATCCCTTTAATGAGGCTAATGAAAGAGAATTAACCACCAGATTGGTAACTTAATGCTGCTGTGATTACAGGCCCAGAATTGCATATGAATGTCTGTATGCGGGTTTTTTTCCCTTGTGTGGTTTTGCCATGATGAGGAGATCTACTTTTTTGTGATAAGCCATAAGAAGGGCATCTCAATTTTGCTAGTAGTTGAAGAAAACCTTAGTCTTAGACTATCGCAGTAGTTGGAGGGAGCCTTAGACTATCTCAGCAGCTGCTGAGATGTTAAAAAAATGAGCAGTTGGATTGAACTGTGCTTATGTCTAGCTTGGTTCTAGATGTGTTTCCTCATGATACTGTAAATGTATTAGTTGTTCTGTCTAAGAAACCGCAGGGAGCAAACTGTATGTATTTTGTCATTCTGAGAAGACAAACCTTTCTTTTTGGTGGCTGCAAGTCTGAGGCATACAGTCTTCCCCAGAAAAACCCTGTAAGACTGTGCAGTTGTGATTTTAAATTTGCAAAAAATTAATGAGTCCTCCCAGCCAATCTCTTAATTGCTTTCTGAGCTACCTTTGTGCTTTGCATTTGGCAGTAGGAAGGGTCAGCGAACTGCAGACTCTGGCAGCTGTCTGATTTACATGTCTTTTCTGAGAGTGCTCAAGATTTTGTTCGGTTCTATGCGGGAAGTTGTGCTGATTTTCATATAAATAAATCAGTACATTTTATTAGCCTTATTCTTTCACCATCATATGACTTGCCTGCAACAGAGATCTCAGTGCTGACTCAGTTTGGCATGTAAAAAGACCTCTTTCTTTTTTTCTGTGGAACTTTGTTTAACATCTCTAAAACTACTTGTGTTCACACATGAACCAGTATCTAGGCATTTTGATACGAAAGTCGGTTAAATGAATAGAATTGTGCAAAACCGTTGTGGTGTTTGGAATTACTGTCTTAAAAAGCCTCGCTTCTCTTAGCAATTAAAAACTCTCTTCATACTGTTACTTGCCGAGTTGCTGAGAGGCCAGAGTAGATGCCATGCGCTGGTTAGCCACAGGCTGCCAAAAGCCAGTTCTATGAAGAAATTCAGTTACTTGCTGGTTGACAGATTTTATTTATTTCTTTCTTTTTAGCCACTGCTAAAATATCAGCATATATATAGCCTCTAGAGTCTTAAATGAGGCACCTTGTACAATCTCACTGAAGTTTGCCATCATGAGTTACGCAGGGAGCCCGCGTAGGGACTACTCTGTGAAAGATGTTGCTCACAAGATAGCCCTGAGTTTTGGTAAGCCAGGGGCATTTACTTGAATTTACTCAGTGCTTTGGAAGCAGCTTGCCTTCAACTCCTTGCTGATGACCTATCTGGTGAAGTTTAGGTTTTGAAAATGATTACTGTTCATTTTTTTGTTGTTACAGTGTTGATGCCTTTTTTCACTGGGAAGTGTTTTATAAAAATTTAGAAGATGCAGGAGAGATTTGTGACTTCAAAGGCGCAAGTTTTAGATGCTTTGCGACAAATGCAACCAGTTCCTCTTGAACAAACCTTGCAGTTGGTTCTGAAGTAATTCTGGTTTTCATTTGAAAAATTCCTTTGTTTGTTTCTCAGAACACTTTGTAACACTTCGTCATTATTATTGTTATTGTTATTAAAGGGCCTCGCTGAGAGCACAGGGACTAGCAGCCTGGCTCCATGCCGCACGGGGAAGCCAGTGACCCTGGGGAGCTGGGGAGAGCCAGTCAGCTCCCTAGACTGGTTGGCTGGCTCAGTGAGCCGGCCTGTCCCCTTTCAAAAGTTTTGACTGAACTAGCACATTCCTGTGGAATATTTTGGGTTTCATCAAGTCAGCACTTAGTGTTGGAACGCTGTTCTACTGGAAACTTTCAGCGGGTCTCCTCAAAGCTGCTTGCTGAGAGGTGGTGCTGCCGCTTTGACGTAAGTGCCGCTTTCACTCAGGCCACTCTGCATTTAATTCAGATGTGGCAGAGAGTCTGATTGTTGGCTAAAATATTTACCAAGGTTCAGTTTAAGGGGAAAGGCTTTCGCTAGTGTGATTTCAGAGAGGGAGAATGTTGGGACAGCTAGTGCGTAAGCTGCTAGATGGTTTTTTCCTTACTCGAGCTAATGAATTTGCAATTCTTCATTTTAAATTCACTTACAGTAAGTGAATTTTTTTAGCCCTACCCAAAAAAGAGCAGGGGATCAAACATCACAGATAGAAAGGATTACCTATATGATTTTATATTTAAAGTTTATGTAGCTCTGTTTTGAATGGAGGATTAGTGTGTTGAAAGACTGTTACAGACAGAATATTGAAAATTAGAAGGGTATTAGAAGGGAAAATGTGAATGAAACTCTGTGCTCTTCCTGTCCAGCAACTTAATTTGTCTTCCAGGGTGTTCGAATCTAACACCATGCACAGCTTAGCCAAATATTCCCCTGCTGTCAAACTGAAATCAAAGTGACTTGGCCACAACACTGCAACTGATTTAGATTAGCAAGGATGCAAAACAGGGATTTGCCATGAGGATTTAAATACACTTTATTTTAAATCAGTTCTAGGTATTTGGCTAAGTTTTGTCTTGTGAGAGAGAAATGTTGGTACTGCTACATGCTGGGGCTTGCACTGAGTGAGTGTCAGAATCCTGAGCTGGAATCTGTATGAGCAATAATCTCGCTAGAGGAGTTGACATCTAAATGACAGCCATATAATACAGGCATTTTGATCTGAAGCAGAGACCCAAAGACTGGCATGAGTCACCTAAAAGA